TCAGATTTTGAATTATCTGACATAGAAAATGAAATTGAAGAATAAATTTGGGAAGCATCAAAAATATTCATATTTGGTTAGTATATGAAGTAGTCTAGTTTTAGTATTTGTTAATCACTTTATGAAATTAATTAAATAATTGAGTTTACATCGAAGTATCGGTCTTAAGAAAAATATTGTACGTCGCGACCGAAAATTAGTGTTAAGCAGGTCTCTCCAAGCTTACAGATATCGCCTACGGCTTGCCCTGGAATCTGCTTGTCTCGACCTGCAAAACACTTTCCGGTTTTGTAACGTAAATTACTATTAAAAATCCGATGCAAAAAATACCGGATTAAAAATTTCGAATCCAATATGGCGGACTGTGAATGAAAACTTTTCCAAATTTCATGAAATTTGGTATTTTTGGGTTTTTTTGAGACACCGATTACAAATCTGCTGTCACATTTTTAAAGTTCAAAATGGCGTATCTAATATGGCGTCCAAAAATATGAAAAACTACTTTTTTCATAAAACTAAAAGCAGCTTCCAAGTGGTTTTTGAGTTTGGTAAATTTTAATTTGAAATCAAAATAAATATAGAAAGCATAAAAGGAAATGCAAAGTATACAGAAGAAATGTAATCGTCTTGATGTAAAAAAAAAGTCATCCATTCCTTACCTTTAACATCTCCAGAGGGTAAGCAAGAGCTTCAAGTGCGGTAAATAATCAGAGTTGATAATTTAACAGATATGTTTAAACATGCCTTAACAAGTTCTGATATTATGATTACAAAAAGAAATGAATACAAGAAAATGTAAACTTTTTCCATCAGAGGTTTTATATACCTTTTGGTTATTAGTGATACAAACTTTGACTGATGATTAAATTTAAAATGTTACTATCGAAACTGAAGACGAAGAGAAATGCAGCTTAGAGCTTGAAAATATATAGTACATATTTCATTTATCAGATATTGATATAGAAATGGACGACAAAAATATTGAATAAGATGTAAGTAATTATTTAGTTTTTACAGTCATTTTCAGTTTTAGGTCTTTATCGACAATTTGTTAATTTTTAGTCCACCATATTAAATCCGCCATTTATTTCTAATTTTTTAAATCATATTGAAAATCAGCCATCTCCGAAACCCCTTAGAAACCCATCAGGTTTAATTTTTATGCAAAATAAGCAATTTTTAAGATTTTCTAGCTCCACATTGTATCAATTATTTTTATTTTATAATTTTTAATATACTATTCAAAATCAGTGACCCCCTAAAAACCGTTAGAAACCCTCCAGGTTTAATTTTTAATAAAACAAGCAATTTTTAATATTTTCGGGGGCCATATTGCATCCGTCATGTTTTAATTCTTATTTTTCAAAATCAGCGATCCCCAATATACAGAAGTTCATTTCATGAAAACGTGGCTCATCAGTTTCATTTTTAACCAAAACAATATTTTCTGGCTCCATATCGGATTCTTAATTTATAATTTTTAATGTTATATTCAAAATCAGTGATCCCAAAAACCCTTAGAAAGCCTCCTGGTTTCATTTTTAATGAAACTAGCATTTTTTAATATTTTCGGGCGTCATATTGGATTCACCATTTTATGTTTCTAATTTTTAATATAGTATTCAAAATCAGCGATCCCCCAATAGAACATTCATCTCACAAAACGTCTCACAGAGCACCTCTAAGTGGGTTGATTATCTTGAATAGGGACCTAAAAACTTTAATTTCAATTTTCATACTAATATAACCTCATACATATATCCTATTTTAATGTTTAAAGAACAAAATAGGGGCATGTAAGCCTACCTAAATATGTTCAGTCCTTAAGTTCTGCGTTCACTAGGGCGGAGTCCGTTCCAGGACAAAGTGAGGGAGTAAGAAGGTTGTAATTAGGGTTGCCACCTATCCTTTTTTGAAAAGGACAGTCCTTTTTTGAAGCAAAATGTCCTTGTGACTTTTTAAAGCCTAAAATGGCCTTTTTTACAGCAAATGTCTTTTTTACAGCACATATATGTGGAAGGGACATACGAAATATATAAGCTAAGAATTTTTTTTTGTTACAAGCTCAGCGATTTAGAAGTTCAGTGGAAGAATGATGACTTTTTGTATACCGAAGCCCCTGTCAGCATCCTAGTCCTTTATTCACTTTTCAAAAAAGTGGCAACCCTAGTTTTAATAGTGACAAAATTGTGACAATTAAAGATATATTTTTTCTTACCAAAATCAAGTGATTTTGAACTTTACATATTGCAAATATAGTTAAGCAGATTTTTGATGCTGTTAAAAGTGAACTTCTGTGAAGGGGTACCAGAAAAGAAGAGTTATGCCAAGGTAAATGGAAAATGAAGAATATGGAAAGTAAACATAATCCTTTTGGTATGAAAACAGAACCCCTTCTCTGTATCTATATCTGTAATGTGTGGAGGGTGGGTTAGCCCCCACGGCACTTAGGCCTCTATAGGCCCATTGTGCATCCTCCTAAGATGGTAGACATGATTTCATGAGTTGGGGTTTTATTATTTTGTCCGGATTTTTAAAGAAATATCCTGAATTTTCATTATAGGTATGCCCTGTATGAATATGGTAACCCTAGTCATTCTATTGTTTATCATTTATATGTTTCTTTGTTGGTCATTTAAGTGATAATGACACGTGTATATGCGGCATTTTCTATAGAACCAAAGTGTCTTAAATTCGCATGGAAAACACGAAAATAATCATTATTGAAAAGTTAGCAAACTTTTTTTCTCGCTCTTTTAGGGGTCCCGGCACGCTCTCCACCACTTAGTCTTAAGTTCCACCCTCCTTTCGCGACTTTGGGATTCGCATGGCGACACGACCGCCTCATGTGTTTATTGTGTCATCTTTTGGTTGCCCTACTCCTTTTCATTCATCCAACTCATAAATTCGGTCACGCATCTAAACTGTGATTGGTACCAAACTGCTAAACTGTAATCAGTGTTTTGAATAAAAACATATTTGACAAAAATTTTCAAATTTTGACTTATTTTTATCGATTTTATATGGCAGTGCACCAGAAAACAAATTATCTAATTGTTAACTAGTGAATGAATGAACACTAATCACAGAAAATACTTTAATAATGAATAATGATTGACAATTCAGAAAAACTAGAAAAATGTCTGACCTGACGTTCTTCATCTATCCAATAACTAACTAACTTAATGTCTAGGTACAGGACAAGTATGTAGTCCATGTAGTATTAATGAAATATGCTAACATCTCCCTTTTTCTTTAACTCAAATCATCATATCCGTATCGTTTAGGTCTTTGTGTAATACGACGAGGTCTATTTTGAATGTTGAAATGTTGACTAGTTGAGCTATCAGTGGGAATATGGTCGGGTAGAGTTGTTGAGGTTGGTACTAAATTAAACGTGTCTATTAAAATATCCAAGGGCAACTTTTTGGATTGTATATTGTTACAGGGTACTTTAAAGTTTCTTGTTTTCAGCTGATTTGCATGAGCTCTGACGAGATTATTTTTGTTTTCTAGAAAAACATTATAAATTACATTCCCGGTGCGTTCTATAATTTTTCCTGTAGTCCATTCCTCTACATTTCGAGAAGTAATTTTAATGAATACTAAATCTCCTGGAGTAAAAACCTTCTGCTTTGCGCCATGTCTTTTATTAAACTGATTCTCCATCCCTTCGTTTCTTTGTTTGATTTCGTCGTCTCGTATACTCGGCAACAATAGGTCGTTCACGGTTTTAATATTTCGATTGAACATTAATTCTGCAGGTGATTTGCCATTTGGTGCATTTCTATTAGGTGTTGTTCTATATGTTTGAAGAAAAACTCGTAAGTTTCCTCCTATATTTCGTTCCCCCTTCATCTTCTTAATTGCTCTTTTGAAAGTGTCAACAAATCTCTCCGCTAACCCATTTGATTGAGGGTGATAAACAGGAGTTGTGATATGTTCGACACCATTTTTTTGGCAAAATATTTTAAAAAAGCTGCTGGTAAATTGTGTTCCGTTATCAGTTACCATTGTGTTGGGAAGTCCGAAAATTGTAAAGGTATTATCTAATTTTTCTACGATTGCTGAAGATGTGATCGAGTTTAATTGAAAAACTTCAGGCCATTTTGAATAAGCATCAACCAAAATTAGATAACTAATACCTTCTACTGGTCCAGCAATATCAAGATGAATGCGATCCCATGGTTTATTAGGAATAGGCCATGATGAAAGTTGGGTCTTCACTGGTGATTTTGAAGCTTGGAGGCAGCTGTTACATTGGTGAACAAAATCTTCAATGTGCTTATTCATTCTGGGCCAGTATGCATAACTTCGTGCAATAGATTTCATTCTTTCTTTACCTGGATGACCTCTATGAAATTGTTTCAAAATTATTTTTATAAATTTCTTTGGAATTACAATTCTGTCACCAAACATGAGACAATCTCGCATGATAGATAAAGAATCTTTTCTGTTAAAGAACTGTTGAATATCTTCATTATCAATATTGGTCGGCCAATTATTAGTAACGTAATAAACAATTTTCTGTAAAATGCTATCTTTCTTGGTTTCATTGGCTATCATGTTGGCTGTAATAGGGAGATTTTCTTCAATATCGCTTAATATTTGTTTAATGGAATCCTCCATATGCATAGCAGCAATGACAAATTCCTCATCTGGTTTGGTTTTGGCGTCCATAAGTCGGGATAAAAAGTCTGCATATCCAAACGAATTTGTTGATACGAAACATATTTCGAAATCATAAGACAACAATGTAAGTGCCCATCTCTGCAACCTGTTTGCGGTATATACAGGTATTCCTTTTTTAGCAGAACACAATAACAATCTTCATCAAGTACTTATCAGAATACAAGATTGTGGTTTTAAACTTAAAATAGAAAAATGTCTGACCTGACGTTCTTCATCTATCCAATAACTAACTAACTTAATGTCTAGGTACAGGACAAGTATGTAGTCCATGTAGTATTAATGAAATATGCTAACATCTCCCTTTTTCTTTAACTCAAATCATCATATCCGTATCGTTTAGGTCTTTGTGTAATACGACGAGGTCTATTTTGAATGTTGAAATGTTGACTAGTTGAGCTGTTTTTGTTTTTATTAAAAACAGCATGGACTTGTGATGAATTTTGTTCAACTAATGCCGTATCTGCTTCTAGACTTAATATTTTATGACATTCATCTACTAACTGTTCCAATGATATATCATCTTTATCGTCCTTATCAATTTTAGATAGAAGTCGAGTGGTAATGTTGGAATACTGCGCCGACTTTAACCCAATAACAAACATTAAGCATTTAAACTGATTTTCAGATAATTTCTTTAATTGAAAATCTTCACATTGTTTATTTACGATTCCGGCATAAGTAAGAAAATCGTCTGTCTCAGATTTTGAAATTTGAAAGCATTTATATCGAGTACTAAAAATTGAAATTCGTTGTCCAAAAATCTTCTTTAGAGTTGCTACCGTCTGATTAAAAGTATAATCTCGTGGATGTTTAGGTAAAATAAAATTTATATATTTCTCGTGAGCCGGAGTACTTAAATTTCTAAGCAGTAACCGAACTCTAGCTGCGTCGTCTAACTTAGCTCCATCTATAAGGAATAAATCTTCATTCCTTCTGAACCACGAATCGAACGTAACGTTATTATCCAAATCTGGTACAAACTCCATTAGGTTTCTAGCTAAAGATTCAATAATTAACTCTGTGTTATCCGTAGTAGAGCTGGCCCCCGAAACAACATTATCAATTTTTTTTGTTAGTTGTTCCAAAATTTTATTTTGCTGCTGCAATAATATTGCAAGGGTGTCGGCGTCCATTATCCTCGTCGCCACTGTTAACTAGTGAATGAATGAACACTAATCACAGAAAATACTTTAATAATGAATAATGATTGACAATTCAGAAAAACTAGAAAAATGTCTGACCTGACGTTCTTCATCTATCCAATAACTAACTAACTTAATGTCTAGGTACAGGACAAGTATGTAGTCGTAGTCCATGTAGTATTAATGAAATATGCTAACACTAATATTTTACGGAAATTTCCTTTTTATATTTTCCAAACTTATTCTTTTAAAAATTAAGTATCATTTATCTATCAACACATAAGTTTTCGCATAAAATTCCTTGACATATATCGGTCGCCATTTAAAAAAATATTAATCACTTCCTCTTTGTCTCTGGTAGAAAGTGGAACGCTTTGTTCTTCGAAACTATTTTCTATTTTATTTTCAGTGAAAAAAAAAAAGAAGAAAAGGAAAGAAAAGAAAAAACGCGGCTGGCTACGACCATCTTTAAAATATAACAGGAACTGGCTTAGTCCGTGGGCGGCTTCATAAAATAACAATAGATCTCTTGATGAGAAGCAACATGCATTGAAATTGAGATTTTCATTTACATAATATTTATCTATACGGGGTGAGATCGATAATTATTTTTTTCATTATGTAAAATTATCAAATTTTGTTATTTCGGCTAATACGAACTCGCGTTGCTAACATGAGCGCATCCAAAATTATTTCCAATGGGGGAACAAAGCTACAAATTTAATTTTAAAAACGTATAACGACCTTACATTATTTATACAGATAAATGCTGTGACTGTAATTGCATTTTAATATTATTAGTTTTTGATTTTTTTAATTAATTAATTTTTTATTTTTTATTTAATTTTTTCTTGGATCTTGGATCATCGACTTTCAATTATTTAAGACTAAATTAACGGGGTCCTATATGTTTACTGGTTCTATGAAAATATTTTCAATGTTTCCAAACTTAATTTTAGTTTCCTTATTTTAATTAAAATTGTTTAAATATTTCCATTCCTAGATAGAACACAGCTACGTCATCAATTGGCGGAGTATATCGTTGGCTATCGACGCCTACTGGCGGTTTAGTGGCGTATTAAGGTAGTTCATTCGTAAAACGGCTTTTCTTAAGAATTCAATAAAATTGAAATATAAGGTTAATGAAAGTGTGTTTTATGTAAATAAAAAAAATTAAATTTTTTGACCATCTGTGAAACGAGATATTAACAATCAAAATGTGCATAATTAACACTCTTGAAGCCTCTCATGTACACAAGTAATGCATTTATTTTCAGATATCTCGAAAACTGTTCTTACCATATTTTTTAAAAACTAATGTAATGTAAATCAAGAAGTTCTAAAATTTTCTAAAGGAATGCTGAATTTTTTGACCTTCTTAGTAAAAAGATATAGATTTTTAAAATAAAAATATTTTTAAAGCAATCGTCGCGTAGTTGCGTAAAATTATTACAACTTGGCAACGTTGTATACGCTGCAATCAACGCGTTGTACCAAACTAACACTCGATCAGCTAAGAGGATGTTATAACCTCGCGACGTTTCCTTGGAAAATTAATTCGTCCACTGTATTTGAGAACTGGAATCAGCGGTTCTGTTTGAACCAAAACAAACCCTTAAAATTAATATGAGGAAGTCACAAATTTCTATAGCAAACCATTCATGTATTTATGAGGTTGCCGGATGGATTTTATTAAAATCCATATATATAAGATGATATAAGCTTACATGTGTTTTGTACAGTCTCTTACAAAAATAAAATTGATTAGCATTGAGAATCTCGAACTATTGGTATTCACCATTAAGCGATATTTTTATGTACGACTGTCGCGAGTGAACTACCTTAAATATTATTGGCAAGTAGGAATCATATTTTTTTACCAAACAACTTGTTATTTATTTTTTTTTTTATTTATTGACAGATATAGATGATATATATTTGAATTTGGAAATAAAAGTGCATATATATTATTCATTTATCGCCTATTCAGATCCGAAAGACGCGCCCATATGCTTCCGCGTTGTTAAACTCTTAAAGTTGCGATGGAACGAATTGCCGTTAAGTTATACTATTCCCCGCTACAGAATATATAGATCCAAAAAAACGTTGACACAAAAAAATTAACAAATATCAATTTTGTTCGGTATATTATTGGTTTATTCGAAAGAGCAAACATTTCCATTATTTATGGAATACGATTTCATTCATGTGGCTGCCTCGGCTGGCTTCGCAGTAGCGCATCCTGTCAACCCAAGACACAGGACCGCACAAAAAATTCCAAAGAAGTCAAATCGCAGCTGCGAGGTGGCCAATTCACATTGCCGATAACAACACGATTACCGAACTTGGTGCGCAAAAGATCGATTGTGGCATGGGCTGTGTGGCATAACGCGCCATCCTGCTAAAACCAAAGATCGTCCAAGTCCATGTCTTCATTATCCGGCCACAAAAAATCGTTTATCATGCATCTGTAGCTATCATTGTTGCCCGAAATGGCATCTCCAGCAGCATTTTCAAAGAAAAATAGGCAAATGATGCAACCGCTCCAAAATCCGCACCAAACTGTCACTCTCTGAGGATGTTGTTGTTGTTATTATTTTTCCGAGGACGTCATGGAAAACCTACAATAGTTATGACGTAGCGGTGTTCTTCTTATTGTAAGCTGATTCTACCTTGATTGTTACAATAAGTTAACTAATTTTCTAGGCGCGAGGGAACTGTGTAGCAGGCTATAGACCATAAAAAGAATCGGCCAATTTTGCTATTTCCAACTTTATATTTGAAGCTAATCCTTCCTCCTCAACACGTCTGCCATTTTTCAAGCATATTACTTAAATCATTTACATCATTACATTTATCTGATTTATATTTAAATTTGTATAGCAAAGAATAGTGAAATAATCTACGCTGCTGGTGATTGAAAAATTTTCTAGACTATCAAATATCATAACACATGTTTCTAGATAAATAGTCTTCCTGTATTTCTCCCTGACCTCAAAAAAGAAATAGGGTCAGGTATCCCGGAAACCATACTCATATTTTACTGAAAAAGGGCCAGTCAGACACAAGGTGGTAGTTTTTTTTTGTTTTTTACTAGTCTATCGCATATTTTTCTATAAAAAGTGTGCAGACACTTCCTTTTTCTAATCAAGAGAGTATGAGGGTGTATACGCATAGTATATATATTTAAGATCTAGGATATCTTTTAAATATTTAAATTTATATAACATCATTCTTTTGTTAGTATCTGTCCAGAATTTGATTTATCTACTCCAAATTTAGGTAATTATTCCGGTACCTAGTAAATGAGGCAAAGCAAATGTTTTTTTTTTTAAATAACTGTAATGTTTTGATATTGGAATCAATTAATTATATTTTTTAAATATGCATTGATTTTTACCATATTCCATAATGACTATGCTATCGGCAAAACTGAAAACTTTTTCTGTGGTGTTAGTAAATTGTTTATATGAATAAAAAGTATCTTTCTTATACGTACAGGTCACATTTTTTTGCAATGCAAGATATGGTTCGGAAAACAATTTTTTCCATCTCATAGAAATATAATTAAGTTATGCACTGTAAAATTAAAAAAAAATTAATTAAAATTGTGACTAATATAACCAAGGAACTTTTTATTTATATGAAATTCTACTGTTAGTAAACCATCCTTGTTCAAATAAATTGTTTGTGTAGAAAAAGAAAATAAATGTCCCTAATATTGTTCCTTGTGGTACACCATATGTAATTGTTTTATAAGATCTAAACTATTATTTATTTTAACTTATTGTTGTCTTTCATCAAGGTAATCTTCGAAAAGGTCCAAAGAAAATCCTCGTATTCTCATATTCTTGCGATAAAACAGTGTCAAATGCCTTGTCAAGATCCAAAGATACGCACACTGTGTCATCAACTAATTCATATATAGTTTTCGTTAGATAAGCAACTTCGTCATTAGTTGATACGTTTTTTCTACTAAGTACAATAATATAATTTTATTAGTTTTTTCAATTACTTTATAGCAATATTAGAAATAAACGTAATAGATCTATAATTATTAAAAAATATATATTAGGAATCATATTTGACCATATACAAAAGAAAACCAAACAGAAAAGTATATTTTTTCTACACCCACATGGATACGAGTATTAGCTTATTTTCGCAAAGACTACGAAACGAAAAAGTATGCTATTGCGTTCAGCTGAATGAATATATTTCATATCCATTCTAGGTAGTGAGAACACTGCAAATTAATAAAATCCACCAATCACAGTTCATATTTTGGACACCCAAATGAGTGACAATTCTGTCAAACTAATTGTTAGTATATTTTTTAGTTATTGAGATTAAATATACATTAAAATGGGTTATTTTTGTGAATAATCGATAAATAATATTTTTATTTTGTCCACATTTTGAATATTCTGGGCTCTGTACTAATTAAATTAAATCCTTGGTTTTTTATGTTTATTTTATAAATTAGTAAAATTCATAAATTATTCTGAAATTTTATTATTTTTTCTTAATAACCCAATATATTATTTTAAATTTGTAGATTTTCGTTAGTGGGTCGTAGAAAAAATATACTGTACAACTCGAGTGGATTATTCATATCTACTCTGGTTACACAAACTACTATTTTTACATTTTTTTTGGGATGAAATAATAAAATATAATAAAAGAACTAATCAAAATAGAAAATTTTCGGTTACATATTCAAAACCCAATTTTTACAAATTTAATTGATATGTACTCACAACGGATCCAAGAAAAAAACCTGGATAATCGGCCATTTTAGTTCTCAAAATTTTTCTTGACACAAATTTCATAAAATTTTATATCTACCCTATTTTTCGGTCTAAAAAAATCGAAAAACAAAAGTTTATTTCAAACAAAAAGAGGATAAAATAGGGAACATGCCGAAGGTGGGAAAAATTACATTTTTGAGAAAATCTGAAACAAGTATTATTGGTTTTCTACATAATATA